CGGAGCCCGGCCTCTACCCGATCGAAGCCACGCAGCGCACCTGGCACCTGGACAAGGGCAGGCCCAAGACCGTGCTCGGCGTGCAGCGGTGGCAGCTGCCCCTGGTTCCGGCCTTCGCGATCACGGCGCACAGCAGTCAAGGCAAGACCCTGCCACTCGCTCCAAGCGTTCCATGTCACACATATGTTACATAATAACACAATCCTCACAAACCCCATGCCTTTCGCGCCGCCGCCCTGCTGCCTGCGCGCCCAGGAAAGCCGTGCTGCTGGACCTCAACGTCAGCAAGTGGATGCACACCGCCTTCGGCACGGTGGTCGCCAGCCGCGTCCGCAGCAGAGAGGACGTCCTGATTCTGCGGCCCTTCCCGCTGTGGCTCTTCCAGCGCGGCGTCTCCGAGGGCCCCGGCCTGCTGCTCCGCAAGCTCCGCGGCGACATCGACCTGGCCGCATACCTGCAGACCCGGTGGCCCACGGCGCCCTGCAGGCAGTGTCACGCGCAAGCAGCCCAACGGCTTCTCCTATTACGAGTGGCAGAACGTCCGAGCCAATCGACCCGCCGCCTGCATGGCCTGCGATCCCAACAGCAACCAACCAGAGCGCAATTTTCAGCCCAAAGGCAAGTTCAGGTGCGCCCAGTGCGGGCGACAGCAGATCGAAGAGTGGTTTCCGCCGGCCCAGCTGAAGCAGCAGCGGGCCGACGTGAGACGGCGCTGCCTGGACTGCCTTAGCCAAGTCACAGAGATCACCTGCATGGTCTGCACCGAGACGAAGCCCACCAATGAGTTCCATGCCACAATGATGACGTACCCAGACAATTGCGTCACATGCAACAGCTGCCAAGAAGAAGCCCAGAAAAAGGCTACTCGAGCCCGAACCGGATGGTTCCTCTGCCGCAGCTGCAAAACCCAATTCTCAGTCGCTGCCTCTGGCAATGCTACCAAAGATCACTGCCTCAACTGTGCAGACAGAGGCTCCCGTGCAACCAAAGGCTGGCAAACCTGCATCAACAAGAGCTGCGCAAAGCGCTTTCAGGCAGCAGAGCGTGGCCTCTGCCCCGAATGCCAACCAACTCGGGCTCGACCAAAAGCACGACCCGGCGACAAGCGCAAGACAAGAAAAGCCACTACTCCAGACACGTAGTTTCACCCACTCGAGAACTGTACAGCTCCAAACATCACCAGACATACATTCGCAAAGACAACAAAAAAGGAGTCCCGCACCAACCTTGTTGCAGCGCAAGTAACACTAAAACTCTCAGCACAGTCTATGATGATCCGAGCCACTGACCACAGTGCATGAAAGGTCGCAAAGCTCTCGAATCAAACTCCTCGTGCAGCGCACGCACACATGCAAACGACAGACCTCACGAGCAAGCATCGGACATGCACAGAATACATGTCAGACTCTGTGAAGCTATAACATCTCACTACGCTAAAAACATCATACATCATTAGACGCAATTATTTCAACGGATCGAGCATTGCACCAGCAACCTCGTGCGAATACAGCAACTAGATATCACCGCGCTGCCAAACCACACCCGCCATGACGTGATGCAGCTACACCCCCTGCTTACCAGCGGATCCGAAGATTCCTACTCTAATACTCGACAGGCCTGCTGCTGAATTTACTGTCATCCATACACAGGTGCCCCTGCGAACCTATTGTAAGCTCATGTTGTACTGAACGCGACACAGTTGCCCAGATTGCATCACTCCGTCATCCGTGGCTCCAAAACATTGAGAAAATATTCCAAATGCGCCCATGCGTTACAAGCACTTAAAGTCATTCCAAGCTCAAAGTATGTTCCGAAAAGTTCAACTCAGTTCTGAAGGACCAAAATCGGCATTCCAGGAAACCAGAGCATGCAACTTCTTACCAAGATTCAGATTGCTGGTTGAACGCTATCCATGAAAGCACCATTTGAACCCTATCCTTTAGGAGCTGTTTGGAGGCTACCCTTTAGGAGTTGTTAGGAAGCTATCCTTTAGACCCCCCTTGAGCCAGTAATTGGAGGCTGTCCTTTAGGAGCCGTTTGGAGGCTATCCCTTAGGAGCTGTTTGAGGCTATCCTTTAGACACCCTTTGAGCCAGTAATTGGAGGCTATATCCTTTAGGAGCTGTATGGAGGCTATCCTTTAGGAGCTGTCTGCATCCTTTAGCCCCCCTTTGAGTAGGTAATTGGAGGCTATCCTTTAGGAGCTGTTTGGAGGCTATCCTTTAGGTGTTTGCAGGCTATCCTTTAGACCCCCTTTGAGCCACGATTGGCTAGGGAGCTGTTTGGAGGCTATCCTTTAGACACCCTTTGAACCAGTAATTGGAGGCTATCCTTTAGGAGCTGTTTGGAGGGTATCCCTTAGGAGCTGTTTGCATCCTTTAAACCCCCTTTGAGCAAGTAATTGGAGGCTATCCTTTAGGAGCTGTTTCGAGGCTATCCTTTAGCTGTTTGCAGGCTATCCTTTAGGCCCCTTTGAACCAGCCATTGCCCAGGTTTGGTAATTTGGTAATTGGAGGCTATCCTTTAGGAGCTGTTTGCAGGCTATCCTTTAACTGTTTGCAGGCTATCCTTTAGGCCCCCTTTGAGCCACGATTGCCTAGGGCGCCCGCTGCGCTGGCGAACCAAAACCCTAAACCCTAAACCCTAAACCCTCAAGGCAGGGTAAACAGAAATTGTATTCACGCCCACCCACTTGACAGGTTTCTCAGCATTAAACACTCAGCAAGTGAGCTTATT